ATGGTTCACTGAGCCCCATCAATCTGGTTGCAAGACAACATCAGTGTAGTGGGATAGCACCCCCAGCTTTTCCCAGCTTGCTTGGGAAAATCAAGCTAATCATCCCCATTTCCAACATTCACTATGATGATTAGAAAAGCAATAGTAGGTATTGGCATAAGCTCATATCAGAAACAGACTTAGAAGTGTGGGCCAGAAGTCCCTGCCATAACCCCATGCAGCCTCCTGACTAACCCCACTCAAGCCCTAGAGAAGTGCCTCTCAGCTATCCTTCCTTATTCCTGCAAAAGGTGACTGTATCCCAACACCATAAAGATCTGTGGATTGAGGCACTACCAACATGAACAAGTGACCCTGCTTCAAAGTACTGGGAGAACTTGAGAGACGGAAGACTTAGATAAATCCATTAGTTTGTCAGAAATTTCCTCTCAAATTGAGGATTATTCCACAATGAAGTATCTTTTCCTTATGTTCCAACTGGTGGTTCCAAAGCTACTTGAAAATTAGTGTGGCTTTTCCAACTGTTGCACTGGACAGCTGAGGAACATTCTACAATACTAAACAAGTCATGTTCCTCTTAAATAGACAAATGTACGTTTGTAGGATATAAGTACCATGATACTGTTTCAATGGTATTGATCTTCAACACTGGCAAACAGATGGACATAGAACACTAGAAATGCAAATAGCTTTACTTTTATAAAAACATTGAGACATACTTAAATTTTCAACAAAAAAATTTTAAGTGTCTTTACTTAAATAATTTTTAAAGCTTTTAGGCACTTTATAATTTATATTTTTGCTTTTGAAAATTTTCATTTTGTCAGAAAGTTTTGAAAATGTAAAAAATAATCTTGTTTTCAATTTTTGCATTACTTTCCATTAGATTTTCTGATGAAAATACATTCAAAATGTTAAAATAATATCACCATGCACAAAACACAAATTTTGTGAAAATTATGAATAGAACAAAATAGTGATTTTGCTGAAACAAACACAAGAAAAAATAAATTTGGAAGAATCAATACATTGTGGGGTAGAAAGAAATTGTGCTCCCTACCATTGAATATTCTTTCAACTAGTCTAATAATTAAATCATATGAGACAAATTAGCAAGAGAAAGTAACCAAATTTAATTACATATGTACATGTGGGAATCCCACATAAATGAGAGGGTCTGAGAGAGAAAGTTAAAATGAGGTATATATGACATTCTGAGCTAAGGATGAGGTAAGGTGCCTTGGAGCTTCAAAGGGGAGGAAGGTCATTGGAGGATGATAAGAAGAACAGATGTTCAGTAATTAGCAGTTTGCCCCACCATATAGATAGGTCATAAAAAGTTATTTCTGGTGAAAACTCTTATTATGGGAAAGGCCCCTAATTTAAATTTAAATTCACTTAGGTAGTTAAAGGAGGTGGGGTGACGATACAGAAGTTTCTCTTGAGCAGGGTCTTGGTTGTCTTTAGCTGAAAATAATCCACATAACACAGAGGCACATCTTGGGGTGACTTGTTCTGAACCCCTACGCCTACAACATGTTTATGCATTATGTACATCTTTGTGTTATTGCTGACCCAAATACCTCCAGCCCACCTGTAGACACCGACATGAGCAATCATAATTCAATTCAGTTGCCTTTGATATGTTGCCAACTTTTAGTCATAAAAACCACAATTTTGTACATTTAATAATTAATGACAATATATTTGACTTGATAGAGGATAAAATATTATTATTTAGCAGTTTGTTAGTTATAGTCTATAACTTTTATAGATTTAGGTACATGGTCCTTGGGCCTCCTTGTATGCTCTTATCCTGGGGCCCTGCAAATGTTTTAGGGCACCTAAATGTGAGTCCCTGATGAGAAAGGTGGTTGACCTTGTGTGCTGGTGGTGGCCTTGGCTAAGTGTGCATTCTTGATTAGAAAGCCAGCTCTGCCTAGGCCTTAACTGCAACAGAAGACTCTCTGGAAGAAATTTTAAAAGGAAAAGGCAGACACCCTATGTGGAATAATTGGACCCTTATGATCTGTTGGTGGAGATGTAAAATGGTACAACCACTGTGGAAAACAGCAAGGGGGTTCCTCAAAAAATTAAACATAAAATTACCATATGATCCAGCAATCCCATTCTGGGTATACACCCCCAAAAAATTGAAAGTAGGGTCTTGAAGAGATACTTGCACACCCATGTTCCTAACAACATTACTCGTAATAGACAAGAGGTAGAAGCAACTCATATCCATCCACAAATGAATGGAAAAACAAAATGTGGTCTACCCATACAATTAAATATTATTCAACCTTAAAAAGGAAGAAAATTCTTATACTACATGGATGAGCCTTGAGGATATTAAGCTAAGTGATATAGGCTAGTCACAGAAAGATAAATACTGCATGATGCCACTTAGATGAGGCACTTAGAATGGTCAAATTCTTAGAGAAATAGAGTCATAGTTGCCAGATGCTAAGGAGAGACGGAATTATTGTTTAATGGGTACAGAGTTTCAGTTTTGCAAAATGCGAAGAGTTCTACTGATAGGTTATACAAGATAAACAAACAACACCACTGAACTGTATGTACACTTAATAGTTAAAATGGAGACGGAAAAGGACAAGAATCATACGATTTTACTCATATATGGGCTATAAAACAGAAAGTATCAACAAACAAATATACTCACAGACAATAGAATGGTGGTTGCCAGAGAAGGGGCTGGGGGAGGATGAAGAGGGTAAAGAGAGTCAAACATATGGTGATGGAGGGAGACCAGACTATATGATAAGCACGCAAACACAGATTAGTGTTATAGAATTGTACACTTGAAACTTATATAATGTTATTAACCAATGTTATCCAAATACATTTAATTTTAAAAATGGTAAATTTTGTGTTACATATATATTATATCACAATTTATTTTTAAGGCAGACATCCTAACATAGGGATTTGGGGAATGCTACTCTGAACAAGTAACTTTTAAACTAAGAGATGAAAGATGGGCAAGCACGGCCAAGAGGAACTGAAAGAAGCAAGGATGGCTGTAGTGAAGGGAAGAAGGGTGCAGCAGCCAGTGGTAGCCAGAGGTAGCCAGAATAGAAGGCTGGGGCCTGGTAAGCATATTAGGAGTTTGGTTTATCCAAAGATCAATGAGAGAGTAAAGACCACATGTATGTAAGTTGTGGTGTCTGTGGGACAGTTAACAAGCAATTCAATACACAATATCCAATAATGTGCTCAATGATGTGGTAGGAAACCTAAGTCTGGAGAACTCCTAAAGAGGGCAATGGACCAATGCTAAGGACACAGCAGGATGTCAGATGTGCAGAACTTGAGGGATCACCAGAAGACCAGGGCTCAGGAGGCCCAAACTTTGGTGCTATCAGTCAGCCCTTTGCAGTGGACTCGACCTGCCCCTGCAAACCCATGATGGGAAAATGTAACAGCCTCCATCTCTGGTGTCCAAAACAGTACTCAGGAATTAACACTGCCTTCCAAGTTCCCCTTCCAGTTCCATCCTCTGCCCTACCCCATCCCCGCCTGTGAGACCACTCTGACCTGCCAGCTCTCACCTCTATCTGCTCTGGGCCCAGATATGAGCCTCCACTGTTCATCACTGAGAGTGTGTATCTGGTGCCTCTACCTATAAAATCAACTCTCCTTCAGGAGAGGTTGTTGTTATCTGCCCTCTGGCCTCCAGGACTCTGACTTGGGAAGCCCACCTTGTTGACACACTGGACAACTACTAGTACTTTGAACTTGACGAGTCATTTAACCTCTCTGAGATGCAGTGCCTGCGTGCAGGTGGGGATGATAAGACCAGTCCTATCACAGCTCCAAGGCTATTTTTGAGGACCAGGTCAGACCACCACCCTTGTACATCACAGAGTCCACTAATGAAGGAGACGACTAAGGAAAGAAGCTGGCCCTGGAGAGACCTATGGGTTCATCTCTGTAAATTGTTGCAAGTGCCAAGGAGCACATATACTTAACCAGCCCAACACAGCACCTGTAAGAGGCGGGTGTGTCGATGCTGATGATGGCAATGAGTGTGTTGGAGGAGATCACAGCTAATCTAACCAGAGGCAATAGACAACTGCTATTGCTATCCCACCCATCCATTTCCAAAGCCTCCCACGCACCTATGGATTTAGCTCCATTTTATAGTACATCAAGGATGTTAGACTGCTCTTCGAAAAATGTATTTTCCCCCAATTTATCACCAAATAAAATCAAATACACTCCCCCTTTAATTTCACACCAAGCTTTGCTCGTCTTTGAGGCAGGACCTGTGATTTGTGTAGAGCACTTGGGTAGTTGGCTCACACCTGAGCAATTAAGGCACCTTCCCCTGAGATGCTGGGCAGAAAGAGCACACTTGTAAGAACACAGTTCTCTTCTAAATGTGACAGGCGTGGGTGTTTGGGGAGGTGTATTAGCAAGACAGGGAGGTGGTTACAAGGAAGACAATGAGCTTGTCAATTACTCTAAGCCTCTCAGAGCCTGAGAAGCAAATCATTCAACTTTCATATCCATCTCAATGATGCCAGCTCAAATAACACACATTTTCCCTACATATTTTCTGTGATGAGAATGGGAAAGTAAAGTTTCCTTAAAGTAAATCCTTTTAGTTTTCAAACAAATTTTATTGGCATAGGGGCTGCCAACCCAGCCTCTCCTGAGAGTCAATTCTCATTTCCCTGTGTTGCTACTTATTAATATAATTGTTATGAATAACTCACATTTATCAAGCAATTACCACACACCATGCACTACATTGAGAGTTTATGCTTGCATCGCATTTGAGCTTTTTTTTTTTTTTTTTACTCTTATAAGCCATGTTTATTTTGACCCAGAAGTGTTCTGAGTTTTGACTGTCTAAATTCCATTCTTCAAGGGTTAGTTTAAGCAGTCTCCAAGTCTGGGTCAGTGCTTTGAGTTCTTTGATCCTCCAATGAAGGCACTGAAATGCCAGGCTAAATGATTATTCTGTGCCAGCATCAGGGCATTGGAGATGAACATCTTTGTCCATACAGTTGCTGGATTTTTTAAATATCATCAACATCAAGGTAGAAGGTCCTAGGGTTCTGTTACATATATCTGGGGTACATTATGGAGTTCTGACTCATGGACTGTCACAGGCTCAGAGAATGACCCTGTTCATGAATAGCAACCAGATTAAACCCTTTCTATAAAGTTGACCAATATTCTCCCTGTCAAAGTGGATAATTCCTGGAGTTTCAGAGTTTGGTAAAAAACAAACAAAAAAAAAAAACCATGGGCTACAATATGACCTGGCCCATCAAAGGGCCAACCATCTCCATGGTCCAATTCCCAGAAAGAAAGTTTGATGTCTAACCTTCACTTGCTGTAAGATGAAGGGGGTCACATTGCTCTAGATCAGTGGTTCTCAACCTGTGGGTCGCGACCCCTTTGGCGGTCGAATGACCCTTTCACAGGGTTTGCTTAAGACCATCCTGAATATCAGATATTTACATTACGATTCATAACAGTAGCAACATTACAGTTATGAAGTAGCAACAAAAATAATTTTATGGTTGGGTCACAACATGAGGAACTGTATTTAAAGGGCCAGAAGGTTGAGATCCACTGCTCTAAATGGAAACCACTTCATGAATAATGTCATTCACTGTAGATGGATTCATATCTTTTGGATAGCTGATAATCCTATAGGTCAGATTGTGCTTATTCCATTTGGAACGTCCTGGAAAGACAGAGAAGTTAGCCACGTCAGTTATTCCACAGCGAGGATGGTGGAGCATAGCCAGCATGTGCTCATCCTGGGCGTCTGTTTTTTCATGAGTCTGTGCGGAAACTGTATCTCTACCCCCGGGGTAAGGAGTGGCTGCTCTTTCTTGGTCAGGGAACACCAATGGAAATTGTCTTTGGGCTCTGGCCGAGGGAGGGCAGAGTGAACTGGAGCTGCATGAGCAGAAACCAGGGTTGGGGGCTCTGGGGTTATAGTTCAGAAGGCAGACACCCCAGTTTCCTGTGCGGAGTCACTCCTTCATACTGCAGAGGACATCTTTCTCCTGCAGACCTTCACCATCCAGCTCATTGGAGCTTTCTAATAAACCAGTGAGCTATGTATCTTTATCTTCATTTTCACAGATGAGGAAACTAGGGTTCAGAGAAGTTGTTAGTCACCTAAATTCACAATAAGAAGTGGCAGAGCTAGGATTTAGACCTTTGTCATCTGTACCAGTTTTCTAGGGTTGCCATAACAAAAACCAAAATTGGATGGCTTGAAACAACAGAAATGTATTCTCTCAAAGTTCTTAAAGCAAATAATCCAAAATCAAGATGTTGGCACAGTTGGTTCCTTGTGGAACCCTGAGGGAAATCTTTCCCATGCCTCTCCTAGCTTCTGGTGGCATCTGGCAATGCTGGCATTCCTTGGCTTTTAGACACATCACTCCTATTGCAATCTCTGGCTTCATTACGTGTCTCTCTGTCTCTTCCTATGAGGACATCAGTGATTAGATTTAATCAGAATAACCCCCCCCCCCTTTTTTTTTTGTAAAGTACACACTGTAGTCCTCCCTCATCCACGGGGCATATGTTCCCAGACCCCCAGTAGATGCCTGAAACCACAGATAAACCCTATATATTCTGTGTTTTCCTGTGCATACATACACTTTCACTTAAAGGAAGCACTTAACAGCTTCTCTTTGGCTGCATCACAAGTCTTGTGCTCTGGGCCATTATTAAGTAAAATAAGAGCTTCTTGAACACAAGCTCTGCAATACACTGACAGTTGATCTGAGTGACTAACAGGTGGGAGCATATGCAGCCTGGAGATGCTGGACAAAAGATGACTCACTTCCTGGGTTGGATAGAGCCGAACGGCTTGAGATTTATCACACTACTCAAAGCAGCATGCAATTTCAAACGTATGAATTGTTTATTTCTGGAATTTTCCATTTAATATTTTTGGACTGTGGTTGACCATAGGTAACTGAAACCATGGAAGGGGCAGCTGTGGATAAGGGGGGACTACTGTATAACAAAATTTGCCATTTTAACCACTTTTAAGTATATAATTCAATGGCATTAATTATATTCACAATGTTGTGCAACCATCACCGCTACCTATTTCCAAAGCCCTTTCATCACCCTAAACAGAAACTGTGCACCCATGAAGCAATAACTCCTCATTCTCCCCTCCTCCCAGCCCCTGGTATTCTCTAGTCCACCTTCTGCCTCTATGAATCTGCCTATTCTAGATACCTCATATCACTGGAACCATGCAATACTTGTCCCTTTGTGTCTAGCTTATTTCATTGAGTGTACTGTTTTCTGGGTCCATCCAAGCAGCACATATCAAAACCACGTTCCTTTTTATTGCTTCCATTGTCTGAATATAGACATTTTGTTTATCTGTTCATCTGTTGATGGACTCTTGGATTGTTTCCTCCTTTTGGCTATTGTGAGTAATTCTGTTTTGAATATTGGTATACAAGTATCTGTCTGAATTTCTATTTTTAATTATTTTAGGTATATACATAAGAGTGGAGTTGCTGGGCCACGTGGGTAATTCTGTATTTAACTTTTTGAGGAACCACCATACCATTTTCCATAGCAACTACACCATTGTACATTCCGAGGAACCACCATACCATTTTCCATAGCAACTACACCATTGTACATTCCCACCAGCAATGCACAAAGGTTCCAATCTCTCCACATGCTGGTCAACACTTAAAGGAAGCAGGGTTTTTGGGGGGGTTTTTTTGAAGGTAAAAATAAAATCTTTATTTTTCTTTTTTTATTATAAATTTTTATTGTTGAAAGTATTACAGAGGTCCCCTTTTTTCCCCCATTGACCCCACCTCAGGCCTTCACCACCTTATTGTCTGTGTCTATGAGTTATGCATATATGGAAGCAGCTTTTAAATTATTATTATTATTATTATTAATGTAAACTATGACCTCATTTTAACTTAACTAATCACATCTGCAAAGATCCTATTTTTAAATTAGGTCACATTCTGAGGTTCTGAGTAGACATGAATTTTGGAGGGACACTATTTAAGCCAGCACATCATTTGATTCCAGAGCCCACAACCATGACCCCTAACAATACCACCTCAATAATAATGTATTTAGTCTTCACAACCCTCCAATGAGCTAGGTATTCTCATACCCATTTTACAGATGAGCTAAACAGAGCTCTGAGTGGTGAGGTAATTTGCCCAAGATTGCATATATATAAAACAGATGGCTTTGCCTAGCCAGTGTGGCTCAGTGGTTGACTGTGGATCTATCAACCAAGAGGTCATGGTTTGATTGATTCCCAGTCAGGGCACATGCCCAGGTTTTAGGCTCAATCTCCAGTAAGGGACTTGCAGGAGACAGCCCATCCATGATATTTCTCTCTCATTGATGTTTCTATTTCTCTATCCTTCTCCTTTCCTCTCTCTATAAAAATCAATAAAATAATAATAATACAGCTGGGTTTAATAGTAGTTCTCTTTTCTACCATGGCATTCTACTATATCTTCCTCATATTTTTTCATGAAAATTGCAGTAGCCCTTCAATAATTAAGTAATACCTTCTCACTAATGCCTTAACTGAACCCTCCCTGGGGTGGATTAGGAACCCCTACAATGTGCTGTTCTAGTAAGGTTACTATTACTTCATTTAGCACATATTGGCGTAATTTTATTTATTTTGTCCATTTCTCTAGTTTAGGAGCATTTTGCCTTATTTTATTCAACATAGAAAAGTTGGGGTGGGGGCGGGTCTTGAGTCCTTTTGAAACATGATGAATAATATTTTCCAGTTTTATTTTAGCTTTTATTTCTTTATTTTTATTTATTTCAGAGAGGAAGGGAAGGGGAGAGAGAGATGGAAACATCAGTGATGAAAGAGAATCATCGATCGGCTGCCTCTTGCACACACCCACTGGGAATGGAGCCCGCAACCTGCGCATGTGTCCTGACCAGGAATCAAACTGTGACCTCCTAGCTCATAGGTCAATGCTCAACCACTAAGTCATGCCAATTGGGCTAACTTTTACTTAAAGGTAGCACTTGCCTGGCTCCTAACCGAAGAAAAATCTAGGGAACTATCTAAGTTATCAATCAATTATTCTGTGCATTTGGCATTATATCTAGGGGTAAGAATTTGCTCCATAATCTGTACACTTTTATATTTGTATTTTTCAACTGATCACTATGTGACAATATATCTCTAAGTCATGTGTAACCCTCTAGATTATGAGATCTATTAAAAACCTATCTGAAATTTAAAAAGAAAGTATTTTCTCAGCAAAATCTCCTTCTTGTGCATGCTATTGTGAAGACTATAAAGAGAGTACAGTGGTGAAATTTTTTATTTCAGAGATAAAAAAAATGAATGCGTCACCTTCTTTGTATAGTATATACAGGGTTGCCATCAAATGTACTTATTAGTAATATAATAAATATTATTTCCCTTCTCTCCATCTTTTATTATCTAACATACAGCTTAAATTCCTATTAAATTCTATCATTTACTTCACCTTCATATGATACTAAGAATTAGATAAATGCCCCATTAAAGCTGAGGAAAGTCCCAAAGCTCATATCAGTCCATGACTATAAAGGTATTAGGGGTATGTATGTATACAGAAAAACTCAAATATACTATTAATAACAGAGCCATCATCAAGAAAGCAGAATGAGAAGTTACTAAACAAAAACTACAAATGAATTCTATTTCAAGCATTGGTATAGAGCTGCTTTATAAACTAAAGCAAAGAAATTTTGATCATATCACTTAAAATCCTTCATTAATTCTCCTTCACCTAAAGGAATCAAGTACAAATATCTAAGTGTGGCTTTACTTTCATCTCCCCCCGCATCCCGTTCCACCATGCTGTCCAGTCATTGAGTCCTTAACATCACATGAAATTCCGTGCCTATAAATAATGTCCTGTTGTGCCCAACTGGTGCCCTCATATCTATTCTTCAAGACCTAGTTCAGAATTACCATCCCCCTAGGAATTTTAAGTAGATAATCCTTCCTTTCCAGAAAAAGTTACCCTGTGCTTTAGCTATCATAATTTTTATCTCATCCTATAATCACTTACTTGAGAACTTGAGGGCAGGAATTCTGTTTTATTCATCTTAGTGTTCCCAATGCTTAACTCATGGTAGCTGCTTGATAAGTGTTTATCAGTTTATGAAGTGTTCATTTGAATGCCTCCTCCCTTTCTTAGTTCATTTTGTCTACCTGGACGTTATCTTTAAACACAGCTCAGAAAACTTGCAAGTTTATAAGCCAAATTATTTTCATTCTCACATCTTTTTAAATCTCATATAAATACTAGGTATTCTGGAGGTAGTAACCTCATATTTAACCCCCTTTTCAGGAACAATGTGACTGTGTCCTTGTGCTTTTGTGAAAAACAAGAATTATATTTATCTCTCTAACCTATCTTGCTACCATTCACCTGTCATTCTCTGAATGCCCACCTTTGTCCTTGGAGTTTGCTGTCAGAGAGAAAAATACATACTACCAAAACAACAGTTCAAATACCCTGAAGTGCTTGGTAAATGATATTGATCAACTCTCCTAACTAGAGCTGAATAATCTCCAGAAAATAAAAACATCAATAGAAAGTAATACTGGACCTTAGCAAAGGCACCATGGGAACATGGCAGTAACAAAGGGGAGGTTAAGACACAATTCTAGATTCAAGAAGTAGCCAGAGCCCCTCATTCTAGCATTTTAGTATTTCTGCTGATAGCTTTGCCTAGAGGGCTGGCTTAGATT